GACAGCCACATGTAAAAAATGAAATTAGGTCATTTCTTAACTCCAAATACAAACAATCCACAAGCTACTGTATTTCATTATTGTCTCCTGAAGAATATGGAAAAATAAGGTTTATAAAATTACTGATCCCTTCACACACTTAAATACTATTTACATACCTAATATGTATCAGGTAATGCAGTGGGTGTAAAGAATAAGTGATGCATGAGAGTGAGAAGATCCCTGCTCACAGGGAGGTTATATTCTGGTAGGAGAGGCAGGCAATAAACTTACAAACAAAATAATGAGATAATTTCAAGAAGCAATATGTGGCATGAGAATATAAAATAAGGTACTGCTATAGGAATTGCTGAGGTAATTAGATTTTGTGGTCAGGGAAGGGCACACTAAACAGGTAACAAATGAACTGAGTCTAGGATGAGAAGGAAACGCCAATCATTGAAACAATCTAGAAAGAGAGAGAATCAAGTGAAAAAACATTAAGACAGCAGCTTAATCTTCCTGAGGAACAGGAAGATAGCCACTGCCCAGACCTTAATGAATGAGCAGGGTAGCAATATGAGATGCCATAACAATTAAAGGCAGTATGCAAAATACATAGACAATGCTAATTTTAAGATTTTATTAAAAATGCAACAGGAAGAGGTGATTAGTAGATTGTATTTTGAAATGACACAGTCTGGCTCATTTTTCAAAATGCATCATTTTGTCTTGTATATGGAAAATGGATTAAAAATAGGCAAGGATGCAACAAAGGAAACCAGTAAAAATAGTATGATAATGAGAGATGATAGTAACTTGAGCTAGAAATATGCCAATAGGAGTAGAGACAATGAAAACGAGACAGATATGCTGTATATGTTGCAGGCAGAGTTGAAAGCTTTCTCATAGAATAGGAGTTCTGGGTAAGGCAAATGATGATTTGAGCAACTGGATGGCTAATGGATGCCAAATGCTAACATGTAGAAGACTAAGAAAAAAATCAAGAGCTGTTTGTCTGATTACTTTTCTAATACTATGTAAAATTTATCACTAACATAGCAGCTCAAAACATCATAAACTTGTGATCTCACAGATGTTGTGCATCAGAAGTTTTGAGTACAGTTTCTTTGGGTCCTTAGCACAGTACAATTGCAACCAAAATGTCATCTGGACAGCATTTTCCTCTGTAGGCTTAGCTGAGGAAGAATCTACTTCTAAGCTTATTCAGGTATTTGACAGACTCCATCTCCTTGTGGCTCTGAGGGCCCCAGTTTCTTGCCTTTGGCTGGGAGCCAGCTGACTTCTAGGACTTCTGAGCTCCTAGAAGTCTACTTCCTAGAGACTGCTTGTGGTTGCTAAAATAATTCACAATTCCCAGCCATGTAGGATTTCCCAACATGGCTGCTAACTTCAGTAAGTAGCAAGAAAAGCATCTAGAATAACTCGTTTAAGAAGACTGAAGCAACACATCCAAACATCTTTTCATATTCTTTTGGTTAGAAGCAAGTCACAGGTCTTGTCTACACTCAAGGGGAAGGCATAACAAAGAGACTTTTACACTAGGACATGGGGATCAAACAGGGATCAGTTGCATCTGTCCTCAACATTGCCTGTTAAATCTTTGAAACTAAATTGTCAAACTAAATAAGTGAATTTTGAAAGCAGAGGTATCAACAATGGAAATATAAAAATAAACTAAACCATTTAATAGTATCTGGAAATAACTGAGGCACAAATACCAATTTTTATAAATTTTAACCACCAGTTAGTATGAAAATTTGGTCTTAGATAAACTTTTCTTAACTTCCAGCTCAGGAAGCTATCACCTTTAGGAAACTGCCTTTCAAGGGTAAAAAGAAAAAAAAGAAAGAAAGAGGAAAAAAAAACACCTACATACTGATATTTAATATGTAATGTCACTTTCATCCTGATACAATGTTTTTAGTGGCATGAAATAAGCAACAAAATTGGAGAAAATAGCTAATTATACTTTGAAGTGTTACCCAGTATAACGAAGAATCTGGAGGTCACTCAAAAATATTGTCAGTTCGTTTTCCAAATGTTATCTTCTTTAAATGGTACTTCCACTTTGCTCATCTCATCATGATGGTCAGTAGAGAACCAAGTCAAGTGTTTCAATAGTAATGCTTAGAGATCACCCAGAGAGACATGGCCTGTACTGCAGAGGAACTGATGAGAGCATTTGCCCATCTTGTAAACAGATATCTTTAAAGAGGGAATTCTACAGAGGGACCGGTGGGTGAGAGAGGGGAGTAGGACAGAAAAATGTCTATTCTCCAAAGCTGGCTTGATCTTCTTGCATCTAAAGCATTGGATAAATTCAAAATAATTGATACATATTTTTAAAAATGAAATTCTTGACTTTTTTTTCTAATCTTTTATATTTTTTCCATTTATTTTTATTAATTGGAGGCTAATTACTTTACAATATTGTAGTGTTTTTTGTCATACATCATTTTAAAATAAAAAAGCTTTCAAAGATTTTTAAAATTAAAAGTAATTTCAGTAGTGGGGGAGACCATTAGTTTTATTTGTAAGTGCAAAAATCATTCATTTTAGTACAAAAATCATTTAGGATTGGAGATAAGGCAATTTAACCTGAGTTTTGAGCATGCAGCGATTTGGGTTTATTGCAGGTATCCATGCATGCATTGTTACAAGTTTAGACAAGTTGGGTCCTGGCGGCAATGAAAAGAATAAGCAGTACTGATACTATATACAAAAATTGCTGAGTTACAACAAAGTATGAGATAGTTCAGTTCAGTTCAGTTGCTCAGTCATGTCCGACTCTTTGCGACCCCATGAATCAGAGCACACCAGGCCTCCCTGTCCATCACCAACTCCCGGAGTTTACTCAAACTCATGCCCATTAGTCGGTGATGCCATCCAGCCATCTCATCCTCTGTCATCCCCTTCTCCTCCTGCCCCCAATCCCTCCCAGCATCAGGGTCTTTTCCAATGAGTCAACTCTTCGCATGAGGTGGCCAAAGTATCGGAGTTTCAGCTTCAGCATCAGTCCTTCCAATGAACACCCAGGACTGATCTCCTTCAGGATGGACTGGTTGGATCTCCTTGCAGTCCAAGGGACTCTCAAGAGTCTTCTCCAACACCACAGTTCAAAAGCATCAATTCTTCGGTGCTCAGCTTTCTTCACAGTCCAACTCTCACATCCATACATGACCACTGGAAAAACCATAGCCTTAATGAGATGGCCCTTTGTTGGCAAAGCAATGTCTCTGCTTTTTAATATGCTATCTAGGTTGGTCACAGCTTTCCTTCCAAGGAGTAAGTGTCTTTTAATTTCATGGCTGCAGTCACCATCTGAAGTGATTTCGGAGCACCAGAAAATAAAGTCTGACACTGTTTCCACAGTCTCCCCATCTATTTCCCATGAGGTGATGGGACCAGATGCCATGATCTTAGTTTTCTGAATGTTGGGGTTTTTTTTTTTTTTTTCTTTTAGAGTTTGACAAATTTATTGGTATTTTAGTAAAGACATTCATCTTAGTTGTTTCTCTCTCCCATCTTGACCGTAGGTTGATATTTGAGTCAAGAAAATGAAATGTAGGAGAGGGGTGTTATTTCAACATAAACATCAAAATGAACAAAAATGGAAAGTTTGCCTACATTTAAGCAAGTTAAATTCATGTATCTTGATATAATTAAATCATGTAAGTAAGAACTAATAGTTCTATATACATTTCCATTGTTTTACTTGGGGCTTCTAAACTCAAATGCAAGTGAACAAAGTATTAGGAATATATACAGGCTGCTTCTCTGGAGTTATTACTTATTAAAAGAGCTCAGAGCAAGAGTTACCACCAATCAGTCTGAAGCTGCCTCCAAAATCTAACATTGTAGTTTTCAAGAAAAATCATTATACTGTATGTTTCTTCTATGTGTGTCTATGCTTTAAAAGATGTGTTTAACTGTCACATTAAAAAAGAATTCATATACAATACAAAAATACAAAATAAACACAATCCTACAACACATAGATTAACAAAGTATATGTGGTCGAAGATTCCATAAAATATGTTTAAAGATGCATTTTCTTTCATTTTCATTTGAGAGGCCACTGGTTAGCAAGTATACAGTTAAAGTAAACCATATTTTTGTGCTAAATAAGAATTCCTGTTAATAAGTTCGAATCAAATTGGATTTCACAAGTTAGTAACATAAATGCTTTGATAAAGTTACAGAAAGTGCATCTTTCATATCTTCCATCTTCATACATTGTTGCTCCCCCCCGCCTTTTTTTTTGGTGTTTATACCCTTTAAAAAATAAGAATAGCCAAACATTTAACTATTATGTACATTTAAATTTTTGGTGGTGGTTTGTTATTTTAAAAGAAACAGCTTCCTTATGATTTGCCTCAAGATCTGGTGGAAATGCTTACAGGAACTAGCTAATAACAAAAATCAAGAGAAGCACATTCAAAATACTGATTTACTTTGGTAGCAAATGGTTGTTCTTGGAAGACTAATGAACGTAGACAAAATCCTTTAAAGTGAAGTGGGCTATTTTAAATACTCAACAGTTTATGTAAAATTTTAAAATGTTCTTTCTAAAGAGCAAAGCATCTGTATCCACTGATAGCAATGCAATAACTAGTTAATGATGATTTGAAACTAAACAAATGACCATTAGGGAAGAAAAAAAGCTGTATTTTATCTAATTTACTTTCTCAATCAATAGTCCAGCAACATTTTCCTCCAAATACAATAGTCCCTTCTCTATAAGGCTGTTCCTGGGAGCCAGACAAGTTTAGGTTAATAAGGGAGTTAAGTTAGAGAGTAACGGCCTACAGTTTAAATGGACAACTTTTTGCTTCCCTCCTAATGTGCTAATAGTTGTGTCTAAAAAAATATGCAATTCTTAGAAAAGTACCATTTCTGATTTTTTTAGTATCTGTAACCTTTGGAAACTAATCACATGAAACTACAAAATTAGTAAATGTCTCGAAATCTGTATATAAAACATAAATTACTTCTAATTTCAAATTCTCATTTATTAGTGTACCACTCAATATTTAAAAAAAGAAAAAGAAAAAAAAGGCGGCTCCAAAGATAGTCTTATACCATTCCTTAAAAAAGGAAACTGTTCCTTTTAACTTTACACCCACCCCACACCCCAGTTTCAAAACACATCATTTAATTGTCTTGGTCATGGACATTTCCAAGATGACATTTTATATTTCGCTCCCATAGCTTCTGGTTATCAGAAAACCCATGCTTTCCTTTATTGAAGGAATTTGGTCCTGCTGATGTTGGTGTATCCCTTCCAATATTCTTCATCCTCATCTTTGCTTCTGGAGGCATTTCCTCTGGTTCACTCTCTTCATCTTCATTAAAAGCTGCTGCTACTGAAAGGGTTTTTGGAGCAAGAGTTGGAACCGGTTCTTTAGGCTTACTTGAGCCAAGTTTGATGGATATGGCTGAGGCTTTCTTTGTCGTCTGACTACCTGTGGCAAATCCAAACTTGGAGATCTTTGTAGGCTTTGTTGGGAGGTCTGCAGTTTCATCTTCAGCTGATCGCTTCTCAGCGCTGCGACTGGAATTTTCCCCTCCATTACTGGAAGAAACAGTCTTAGTTTTCACAGGTTTTTCTGCTTCTTCTTCAGGTCCTCCAGCGGCTCCAGCTCGCTGTGGCTTCTCAGGCTTCTCCTCTCCCGCCTTCCCTTCCGCCATTTTCCCCGCCACCAGAATGCTGAGCTATAAGCCAGCTTTTTCACTCTCCTCTTTCACATTCATCAAGAGGCTTTTTAGGTCCTCTTCACTTTCTGCCATAAGGGTGGTGTCATCTGCATATCTGAGGTTATTGATATTTCTCCCAGCAATCTTAATTCCAGCTTGTGCATCTTCCAACCCAGCATTTCTCATGATGTACTCTGCATGTAAGTTAAATAAGCCGGGTGACAATATACAGCCTTGACGTACTCCTTTTCCTATTTGGAACCAGTCTGTTATTCCATGTCCATGTTGCTTCCTGACCTGCATACAGGTTTCTCAAGAGGCAGGTCAGGTGGTCTGGTATTCCCATCTCTTTAAGAATTTTCCACAGTTTATTGTGATCCACACAGTCAAAGGCTTTGGCATAGCAATAAAGCAGAAATAGATGTTTTTCTGGAACTCTCTTGCTTTTTTGATGATCCAGCAGATATTGGCAATTTGATCTCTGCTTCCTCTGTCTTTTCTAAAACCAGCTTGAACATCTGGAAGTTCTCCCTTCATGTATTGCTGAAGCCTGGCTTGGAGAATTTTGAGCATTTCCTTACTAGCATGTGAGATGAGTGCAATTGTGCAGTAGTTTGAGCATTCTTTGGTATTGCCTTTCTTAGGGATTGGAATGAAAACTGACCTTTACCAGTCCTGTGGCCACTGCTGAGTTTTCAAATTTGCTGGTATATTGAGTGCAGCACTTTCACAGCATCATCTTTCAGGGTTTGAAATAGCTCAACAGGGATTCCATCATATCCACTAGCTTTGTTCATAGTGATGCTTTCTAAGGCCCACTTGACTTCATATTCCAGGATGTCTGTCTCTAGGTGAGTGATCACACCATTGTGATTATCTGGGATGTGAAGATCTTTTTTTGTACAGTTCTTCTGTGTATTCTTGCCACCTCTTCTTAATATCTTATGCTTCTGTTAGGTCCATACCATTTCTGACCTTTATTGAGTCCAGTGTTGCATGAAATGTTCCCTTGGTATCTCTAATTTTCTTGAAGAGATCTCTAGTCTTTCCCATTCTCTTCTTTTCCTCTATTTCTCTGCACTGATCGCTGAGGAAGGCTTTCTTATCTCTTCTGGCTATTGTTTGGAAATCTGCATTCAAATGGGAATATCTTTCCTCTTCTCCTTTGCTTTTTGCTTCTCTTCCTTTCACAGCTATTTGTAAGGCCTCCTCAGACAGCCATTTTGCCTTTTTGCATTTCTTTTCCATAGGGATGGTCTTGATCCCTGTCTCCTGTACAATGTCACAAATGTCCATCCATTGTTCCATCTATAGGGACTCCATCTATAGATCTAGTCCCCTAAATCTATTTCTCACTTCCACTGTATAGTCATAAGGGATTTGATTTAGGTTATAGCTGAATGGTCTAGTGGTTATCCCTACTCTCTTCATTTTAAGTCTGAATTTGGCAATAAGGAGTTCATGATCTGAGCCACAGTGAGCTCCCAGTCTTGTTTTTGCTGACTGTATAGAGCTTCTCCATCTTTGGCTGCAAAGAATATAATCAATCTGATTTCAGTGTTGACCATCTGGTATGTCCATGTGTAGAATCTTCTCTTGTGTTGTTGGAAGAGGGTGTTTGCTATGACCAGTGTGTTCTCTTGGCAAAACTCTATTACCCTTTGCCCTGCTTCATTCTGTACTCCAAGGCCAAATGTGCCTGTTACTCCAGGTGTTTCTTAACTTCCTGCTTTTGCATTCCAGCCCCCTCTAATGAAAAGGAAGTCTTTTTTGGCTGTTAGTTCTAAAAGGTCTTGTAGGTCTTCATAGAACCGTTCAACTTCGGCTTCTTCAGCGTTACTGGTTGGGGCATAGGCTTGGATTACCGTGATATTGAGTGGTTTCCCTTGGAAATGAACAGAGATCATTCTGTCGTTTTTGAGATTGCATCCAAGTACTGCATTTCGGACTCGTTTGTTGACTATGATGGCTACTCCATTTCTTCTAAGGGATTCCTGCCCACAGTAGTAGATATAATGGTCATCTGTGTTAAATTCACCCATTCCAGTCCATTTTAGTTCGCTGATTCCTAGAATGTCGACATTCACTCTTGCCATCTCCTGTTTGACCAGTTCCAGTTTGCCTTGATTCATGGACCTAACATTCCAGGTTCCTATGCAATATTGCTCTTTACAGCATCAGACCTTGCTTCTATCACCAGTCACATCCACAACTGGGCATTGTTTTTGTTTTGTCTCCATCCTTTCATTCTTTCTGGAGTTATTTCTCCACTGATCTCTAGTAGCATATTGGGCACCTACCGACCTGGGGGGTTTCTCTTTCAGTATCCTATCATTTTTGCCTTCTCATACTGTTCATGGGGTTCTCAAGGCAAGAATACTGAAGTGGTTTGCCATTCCCTTCTCCAATGGACCACATTCTGTCAGACCTCTCCACCATGACCCATCTATCTTGGGTGGCCCCACATGGCATGGCTTAGTTTCATTGAGTTAGACAAGGCTGTGGTCCTGTGATCAAGTTAGCTAGTTTTCTGTGATTGTGGTTTTATTGTGTCTGCCCTCTGATGCCCTCTTGCAACAACTAGTCTTACTTGGGTTTCTCTTACCTTGGACGTGGGGTATCTCTTCACGGCTGCTCCAGCAAAGAGCAGCCACTGCTCCTTACCTTGGATGAGAGGTATCTTCTCTCAGCCGCCGCTCCTGATGTTGAACGTGGAGTAGCTCCTCTCGGCCCTCCTGCGCTCGCGCAGCAGCCGCTCTTTGAAGGTGGGGTAGCTCCTCTCGTGCCGGGCCCCTGACCTCCGGGGTAGGGTAGTTCCTCTCCGCCGCCGCCCCTGACCTCGGACGTGGAGAAGCTCCTCTCCGCCGCCGCTCCTGCGCTGTCACAGCCTGGCACTCTCCGCCGCTACCTCTGACCTTGGGTGAGGGGTGGCTCCTCACGGCCTCGCTTCTGCGCGGTCTGTCGCAATGAGAAATTAAAACATATTGTAAGAATTAGATTTTGTTGGTTGAATTAATGAAGCTGTTACTGACTAGAGAAAAATTTATATATGTCTAATGTATGTTGTATACTGCTTTTATTATAATTTATATTATATAGTATGTTATCAACCATACATCGGCTATTATTATACAATGACAAAACATTGAAAGGATGTTTACAGGAAGTGACTTTGGCTGTACATAAAAAGGCTATTTGGTTCATCTAGAAACAGGAGAAATAAATTTTGGTAAAAATTGGCTGAAGCTGGTGAAGCCTTGGGCAGCAAATCTGTACATATTTTATACTTGTTCTTCTTATTGCTGTTGCTAAAATAAAGTTACCATAGGAACTGAAATTCTATATCACAGTGAGGTGAGGCAGGATCCTCACCTGCCTTAGAAGGCCTATGGTCCTTCTCCCAAGTACTCCTCTGACTTTTATCTGTGGAAAAGCTTTAGTCAAAGAATAGCTTTAATCAGAGAAGTGAGAAAATGCAGAAACAAAGGAAAACTGTCAAATGAGACTGAAAAATAATAGTTTAAGCAAAGTCAATGACCTTTAGTTCCTCCTCAGGGGCCATACATAACGTTCAGAGACATAAACCATGAGCTGTCTTACAGATACTGAGACCCCCACCAGGCTGTTGTTCAGTCGCTCAGCCACGTCTGATTCATTGTGACCCCATGGATTGCAGCACACCAGGCTTCCCTGTCCTTCACCATTTCCTGGAGCTTGCTCAAACTCTTGTCAATTGATCCAGTGATGTCATCCAACCATCTCATCCTCTGTCGTCTTCTCTCCTCCTGCCTTCAGTCTTTCCCAGGCTTAGGGTTCTTTCTGATGGGTTGACTCTTTGCATTGGGTGGCCAAAGTACTGGAACATCAGCTTCAGCATCAGTCCTTCCAATGAATATTCAGAGTTGATTTCCTTTAGAACTGGCTGGTTTGATCTCCTTGCTGTCCAAGGGACCCTCAAGAGTCTTCTCTAATGCCACAGTTCAAAGGGATCAATTCTTTGGTACTCAGACTTCTTTATGGCCCAAACTGTATATCCATACATGACTACTAGAAAAACCATATCTTTGACTACACGGATCTTTGTTAGCAAAGTCATGTCTCTGATTTTTTAATATGCTATCTAGTTTTGTCATAGCTTTTCTTCCAAGGGGCAAGAGTCTTTTAATTTCATGGCTTCAGTCACAATCTGCAGTGATTTTGGATCCCAAGAAAATCAAGTCCAACACTGTTTCCATTGTTCCCCCATCTATTTGCCATGAAGTGATGGGACCAGATGCCATGATCTTCATTTTTGAATGTTGAGTTGTAAGCCAGCTTTTTCACTCTCCTCTTTCACCTTCATCAAGAGACTCTTTACTTCCTCTTCAATTTCTGCCATGATCATGGTGTCTTCTGCCTATCTGAGGTTATTTATAGTTCTCCCATTAATCTTGATTCCAGCTTGCCTCTCCTCCAGGCAGCAATTCACATGGTGTACTCTGCATGTCAGTTAATAAGCAGGGTTACAATATACAGCCTTGATGTATTCCTTTCCCAATTTGGAAACAGTTCATTGTTCCATGTCTGGTTCTAACTGTTGCTTCTTGACCTGCATACAGGTTTCTCAGGAGGCAGGTATGGTACTCTGGTATTATCATCTCTTTAAGAATTTTCCACAGTTTGCTGTGACCCACACAGAAAAAAAGGCTTTAGCATAGTAAATGAAGCTGGAGAAATTCTCTTGCTAGTTCTTGGTTCACTTATAATTGAAACCTGGCTTGGAGAATTTTGAGCATTATTTTGCTAGCATGTGAAATAAGTTCAAATTATGCAGTAGTTTGAACATTCTTTGGCATTGCCCTTCTTTAGGATTTTAATGAAAACAGACCTTTTCCAGTCCTGTGGCCACTGCTGAGTTTTCCATATTTGCTGGCATATTGAGTGCAGAACTTTAACAGCATTATCTTTTAGGATTTGAAATAGCTTAGATGGAGTTTTATTACCTCCACTAGCTTTGTTTAT